AGCACTAGTTTGTGTGTCCATTAGTTAGAAAGCATTTGTTTTTAATTTTGATTTTAGATGAAGATGAGACTTCATAATGAGTAGGGCTGTTAAGCAATTAAAATTACATAATGTGGTGAATAATCAAATTATTTGCATTTGAATCTCTCACTGAATCTCTCGTAAAAAATAGCTTTAGAAAGAAATATTGTTTATGCCAAATTGTTATGCATAAACATTTAGGCCACAATGGCCAATTGGTATTTAAATATATGTTTACAGGCTGTGTACTGCAGCTCAGAGGTAGCATGAATGCATTTACAGTGCAATTATAATCGCATCGATAATATGCCATGAGATGAATGGTTTTTAAATGGGTATTAAAGGGATAGTTCACCCTAAAATTTTAAATTATGGCGTCAATGAAAGAGAGTCAGTCATACAGGTTTGAGATGACATGAGGTTGAGTAAATGCAGCCCTGCAGATTTTAGTTTCAACACGCATACCATGTTGTATAAAATCAGTAAACAGCACTCTTGTGATATTGCACTCATTACTTGTGTGATATTACTGCTATAATATGAGAGAAAAATCTAAGTTTTTTTTTTTTTGCCCCTGTATCTTGGATTTTAGGGGCATATAACTGCATTCTATAGGCTACATCATGCAGTGAGTTGTTTTCCTGCATATTTATTACCAATCATGGTATGAAATATAAGATGACATAGGTAGGTCTGATGAGGGTGTTAAATGCGTCAACAATTTTAATGCATTACTTTTTCCATAACTAATTAATTAAATGCATTAAATCTACAGCCGTAATTATGAGTAATCATTGCAGAAATCCAGGTAATTCCAAAAGGTTTATTATTTATTCGGTATGAACCGGTATACCGCCCAGCACTAGTTTGTGTGTCCATTAGTTAGAAAGCATTTGTTTTTAATACATAAAGGAATTGGAGAAGATGTAAATTGAGAAACATACTGAACCACCCCACCCCAAAACTTTGGCCCTTCTTCACATTCCCACACAGTATGAAAAAATTTACCTTGTAGTTTATTACATTTAAAGGGTCATAGGTCAGGGATATTTGGGTCAAATTTATTTAATCTTACTGGAGTAATATAAATTCTCATTATCCAATTGTATTATAAGAGTCTCAACCGAGTATTCATGGTTTGCGTTTGTGCTTTTAAGCACACTCTACCTAATCTTCCAGTGAGATATTTTTATTCAAGTCATATATCTATGCTTGTCTTTTATTTTCAGCACTTTCTTTTCTGATTTCCTACTAGAATATTATATAATTGGGTAATCCGCCCTTTAGATAGACAATCTTGTGTGGAGAATATTTCCAACAAGGACATTGGGGGAGTTGAGCAGAATTCTTTAGGTGTGAAAAACTAAAACTTCTAACTTGCAGATATTTAAAAAAAAAAGTGTTTCCGAGGTAAATGGAACCTCATTACAAGCTTGTCAAATGATATTAGAATATTGTCTTCATATAAATCCATCAACCTAGTTAATCTGTATTCAGTTATGAAGACTAAAATGACACTTTTTGTTTCCAAAATCTGTTAGAAGGAGGCTACATCTCAGTGTAACAGACAGTTCTGAAGATGCAGAATGCAAAGAATTTAAGGGCAAGCTTCAATTATATCTGTGACATTGCAGTTATAATAGCATGGAAGGTTTTTGTTCCATTGAGAGAAACCAAAAGAAACCTTACAATTTTGTCAAATTACCTAAAATTTTAATTATTTTAACAATAAAATTAGAAGACAGAGCCCCATTCAAGTAAATGATTATGTAGGGTTTGTAAGTGACTTTCAATAAGTTATAAGTAGGAGTTTATGGAACTTCAAATGACTTCACTTCAGCATTGTATACTATAACAGCATTTTATTAGCAAACACCGAAAACTGAGGTGTGTGCATTTCCCTCTTCAACACTACACAGTGGGTAAAGCTGAGGAACAATGAGGTATTACAGAGTGAATTTTGATACCTCAAAATGTATTTAATTCTTGTTTTAATTATTATGCTACATTAGACTTCACCATAAATAAAGATGCAGGATGTCTGTACATGCAAGTAGAAAGAAAACTAACAATTAACAACATGACACACTGATACAATTGCAAAAGAGAAACAGTAAAGACAGGTATTGCATAGGTTAAAACAAACACAATGTAATTTGTAAAACAACAGTACATATTTACTGTACATAACAGTACATATATTTTTTCCCACAAAGATCAAACTATTTTAAACAATAAATGATTACATTACAACAAAACCTAAAATGGCAAGCCTTTTCCTTCAACTTGCCTTTAAACTGTCCCAAACCCCTAGTTAAAAGAGATAATGACTATAGAAGAAACCCAGTGATGAAGAAAACATTACAAAGAATGGCATATAAGAGATATAGCTTGTGGATGGTCATGAAAAGCAGGATGTTCATTTGTGCAGGAGTCATTCAGACCCCCCCCCCCCCCCCCCCCCTTTTTTTTTTTTTTTTTTTTTTTTTTTTTTTTTTTTTTTTTTTTTTTTTTTTTTTTTTTTTTTTTTTTTTTTTTTTTTTTTTTTTGTGGGGGGGGGG